ATATATATATATATATATATATATATATGCCTAATTGGGCCAGCCCAATGGGCCTACAATTTACTTACCTACTGGGCCACGAGCCCAGTATCGAAGACCACTATCACCGAGGCCCAATCACCTTCAAGCAAGGTTTGGGCCCGACAATCTCAACTAAGCTATAAATACACATTTTAACTCATTCTATAAGGTAACGTCCCATTAACTGAGCAATACTACAATACGTATTCTCTGGACTATTTCTATGATCAGTTGTCCCTACGAGTATACGGGAGGGGTTTCCGCCGGATCAACCCCCGGCGTAATTCACGTGTGTTCATCTCGCAGGTACCTCAGGATCATCAAGTTGTCAAGCTACTGATCCGCTTTGCTCTCCCAATACATTTTCTACACTACCCCAGGTGATCTACATTTTAGCATCATCATTCTGGCGCCGTCTGTGGGAACGATGCAAACCAGATCACGTAGCCAACAAGATCCTCCTGAGGCGTCTGCTCGGAGAGAAAATGACACAGCTAACGACCTCCCACCTCGTGGAGGCTCTGGCTTGCCACCTCCTCCACATCCCATGGATCCGCCTCGCGAGGTTCAGGTGATCCTCCTCGGGACCCACCACTCGCCGATCCACCACTCCCTGCTCCTCGAATGGTTCAAATAACCGAGGATGCGCTTCAACACATGATAACAGAAGCTTCAACTCGCGCTGCCACAGAGGCCGTGACTCAATATATCGCCACGATGGGAGCAAATGCTCCCAACGCTATACCAGTACCTGCTCCACATGTGGAGCCACCTATGGCACCACCGCCATCGACTCCCTGGAGGCTTACATAGCCACCTATGGCACCACCACCATCGACTCCCTGGGGGCTTACATAGCCACACATGCCACCACCGCCATCGACTCCCTGGGGGCTTACATCGCCCCCAAAATATTTCGTTCGCCAAGGGTTATCGACTCCCCGGGGGCTTACATCGCCCCCAAAATATTTCGTTCGCCAAGGGTTATCGACTCCCTGGGGGTTCACATCGCCCCCAAAACATTTCATTCGTCATAGCAGGAGCCAACGCTCCTCCTCGTGAGGCCCCACTGGGTCCCCAACATGATCAATTTCTACTTACTTCTCGAACGGTTCAGATAACCGAAGAAGACCTTCAGCGTATGATCACGGAAGATTCAACTCGCGCTGCCACTGAATCAGTGGCACCATATATCGCCAAGGTGGAGCATGAGGACCCCAGTGGTTCGTGATCGCCTCATCCTAAATGGGAGGTTATCCCATCCTAAAGTTGGGCATCTCATCTCAAGGGTGGTACATCCACTGACCTTTCATCCCAAGGGGGTGCACATCCCATCTCAAGGAACGAGGATAATCTCCCTACTCAAAAAATAGAACATCCCCAAGGGGGTACACATCCCATCTCAAGGAACGAGGATAATCTCCCCACTCAAAAAATAGAACATCCCCAAGGGGGTGCACATCCCATCTCAAGGAACGAGGATAATCTCCCTACTCAAAAAATAGAACATCCCCAAGGGGGTGCACATCTCATCTCAAGGAACGAGGATAATCTCCCCACTCAAAAAATAGAACATCCCTAAGGGGGTGCACATCTCATCTCAAGGAACGAGGATAATCTCCCTACTCAAAAAATAGAACATCCCCAAGGGGATGCACATCCCATCTCAAGGAACGAGGATAATCTCCCTACTTAAAAAATAGAACATCCCCAAGAGGGGTGCACATCCCATCTCAAGGAATGAGGGTAATATCCCTATTCAAAAAATAAAACATCCCCAAGGGGGTGAATATCAACCAAATAAAAAAGAAAAAGAAAAAAGATGAAGAAGAAAGAAGAAGAAAAAAAGAAGATGAAGAAAAAAGAGAAGAAGACAGAAGAAGAAAAAAGAAACAAGAAAAAGAAGAAGAAAAAAGAAACAAAAAAAAAAAGAAGTAGAAGAGAAAAAAAGAAGAAGAAAAAAGAAGAAAAGAAGAAGAAGTAGAAAAGAAAAAAGAAGAAAAGAAAAAAGAAAAAAAAACAAAAAAATACAAGGAAGCGCGCGCATCAGCACCGCGCGGTTGGCCAGGGAGCCTCGGTCCGCGCGCGCGCGAAAAAAAAAAAAACAAAAAAAAACAAAAAAAAAAAAAGGGCCAGGAGGCGCGCGTGCACAGCACGCGCGCGTGGCCTACACGCGCCAGACGCGCGCGTGCACTGCACGCGCCAGTAGCAAAAAAAAAAAAAAAAAAAGGGCCAGTACGCGCGCGTGGCCTACACGCGCCAGACGCGCGCGTGCACTTGCACGCGCCAGCAGCAAAAAAAAAAAAAAAAAAAAAAAAAAATGGGGAAGAGGAGCGCGCCTTCCCATGCACGCGCGCGCGCTCCCATATAATGGGGCACAACTGTCACCGCCTTCCACCAAATTGCGCGTAGATTTTGACTCGCTTCACCAAATCGCATGAGAATTTCAACGCGTTCCACCAAATTGCGCGAGCTCTTTAACGCACCTACCAAATTGCGTTCGCTATCAAATGGAGAAAAAAAAAATTATTTCTCCACACCATGCAACGATTAACGCAAGACTACAGCACCGATCTACTCTCGACAAGATCCGGTACCCTTTTCAACGTGGCTCCCACATCCTCTCGAGAGTGGGGGGCTTGCGAGACAACTCCCACGAGGAGCCAACTCGCGCAGTAATACAACCCGCAGCGAGATAACTCCCACGAGGAGTCCACTCGCTCAATGCTACTACCCGTTGCGAGGCAACTCCCACGAGGAGCCAACTCCCTTGGATCTTAACACCACAGCGAGACAACTCCCACGAGGAGACCACTCGCTCCGTCCTATAACCCGTTGCGAGGCAACTCCCATGAGGAGCCAACTCCCTCGGGTCTACGAAACCACAGCGAGATAACTCCCACGATGAGACAACTCGCTCGGTCCTACAACCCACAGCGAGATAACTCCCACGAGGAGACAACTCGCTCTGTCCTACAACACACAGCGAGACAACTCCCACGAAGAGCTACCTCGCTCGCTAATAAAACTCGGCGCGAAACAACTCCCACGAGGAGACAACTCGCTCAGAGCGACCTCGATACGCACGCTCCTCAGTCGCGCGTTATCCAATGCTTCTACAACTTCGTTGCGAGACAACTCCCACGAGGAGACAACTCGCCCGAAATTCAATATATAATCGCAAGCTCAAGATAGCACGATTACGACCCTAGAAACACTTAGAAATATTATGGGAATCTATATAGCCTGGCCAGCTTGAT